AATAGAGGAAGGAAGGAGAAGAAGACATGGATGAAATATTCCTGAGTCACCAAAATCGGATAGTGCGCCGTTTGTACAGTGAGCGCCGATTGGAGTGTAGTCCCTGATTGGGACTAATTTCTGGTCCCAATTGGGGTACACTTTCTGGTCCAACTTTCTCCAAATTGAAATCCGATTGAACCGTTGCGATCAGACAGTCGAGCTCTATCCAACGATATACTTTTCATAATTATTTGTAATACTTTTTCCGACATCATATTTTTGGGTGTTTGACTTTAACAGAGTCAAAATTGATTTAATTGACCTTTCTCATAAAAGGTTCTCTCATTTAATTCATATCAATTATTCTCATGATTTATTTCAATAAATCATTACAAAGTTCACATCATAATTAATTAATTTATTTATTCTTGATTTGGGTCTGTACTCAAGTTCCAAATCAAGACGACACAAATAGTCCACATATTGGATTTATCTCGATTAGACTTATCCAGATTTTGATATTGGATATTAAAAAAATATTTCATATCGGCCCAAAGCCCAATAATAATCAAAACAAATTTGTTTAATCGAATAATTATTTAATAATAATTCTAGGGTATGTTTCGGGGCGTTACAAGCTACATTAGCAAAATGGAGTGAATTGTTTAAATAAAACAAAGATGCTCCATTATTTGGTCATTAGCTAAATGACAAAATTAATTAGTCCACTAATTTATCAATCAAGCAAAACATTAGCAATTTGTCAATCCATTATATCATATGGCCGAAAGTTTTGATTTGAGAAGGATATTAATCCTTCTCCACTCAAATGTTCAAAGTGTATTTTATTTGACACCAAAAATTAATATAAAATTAATTTTAAATCAAATAAAATATCCATGTCATTTTTAAACAAGTATAAAATATACTTCAAAAAGTTTATGTCAAAATAATTATTTTCATAATTAAAATGACAAACCAAAATAAAATATTCAATATACAATATATATATATATATATTAATCGGCAAATATATATAAAATATATATATAACCGAATATTTATATATATAATATTATATTCCAAAATATTTTATTTTACTATTTTACAAATATACAAATTACTTATTATCCCATTGTTTAATCCTACTTCTTAAATTGTCCAAAGTGTGTGACCCGTATAGGCACTTATAAAGCTGGCCACAGTATTGGCTCTGCACCAATACTATAAGCAATAAGCGGTATCTAGAAACACATTATTGCCCCCAGATTATAAGTTAAGATGTTTGCACCGTCAAAACCTTTCCACGACTCAGATTCCGTGTAATTGTATCCCTTTGTCTCAATGTCTAATTTCAATGCAAGGGATTAATAAAATCCAACTTGTATCCATTAAGTCATTCACTGATTTATCAAGTCTGACTAATAGGAACAGACGTCATAAAAGCATCTCAGCATGGCCATGAAATTTCCTAAGTCATATCTTATCAGTGGGCCCCATAAGACATTAATCTCTTTAAAAAGAGTAGTGACAAATCCTATGTACGTAATCTACGTTTCTGAATACGCGCTACGGCATACCCAAAACAAAGCTTGTATACCATCCTTATTTCATATGGCTTAGGACAATGCATCAAAGTATGCGGGTTCACATATGCACAAAACGTAATACTTCAAGTCGAAGGATAGTTACACCCGTGGTTGCGCTAAAGATGCTTAGAGCATGAACTAAAAATTCAAGCAACATCTTTAGAATGGGTCAGTCCGGCATCCTATTATCTCTAGATAATATCTGCCCATGTGTGGATGCGAACACACCATCATTGACCATGAGACTAAGTCAAACATCCAACACACACTAGTCTCACATGCATTAACGATATCCCACTCTCGTTAATACTCGACTATGGACATTTAGATAACTATTTATTTCAAGATGTTAGTCTCATCAGCAGAATAACACTATCTGATAAACATCTTTAAATATAAATCTAGGAATATAATATTTGTTTACATTAGCATGAGATGTGTAAACATATTATATCTGCCTATACATAATAGAATAATGATAAACAGTTGGCCATCAGGGCACAACTCCAACAATCTCCCACTTGCACTATGGCCAATCTGGCATCGGTCGAATACCCATGGACCTAGTGTGACCCTCATGCTTTAGCTTTCCTAAAGGCTTGGTCAAGGGATCGGCTATGTTGTCGTCAGTATCTACTTTGCAAATCATCACATCTCCTCTATCTACGATTTCTCATATGATGTGATAGCGTCGTACAATGTGTTTGGTTTTCTGGTGCGATCGCGGTTCCTTTGCCTGTGTAATGGCCCCAGTGTTGTCGCAAAACAACGAGATAGGGTCATTAATATTAGGAACCACTCCAAGTTCAGTAATGAACTTCTTGATCCAAACAGCTTCTTTAGCTGCCTCGGCGGCCGCTATGTACTCAGCCTCTGTAGTCGAATCGGCGGTTGTATCCTCCTTAAAGCTCTTCCAACTAAAAGCTCCGCCATTCAGGAAAAACAAATATCCTGCTTGTGATTTTGAATCGTCTCTGTCGGTTTGGAAGCTAGCATCAGTGTAACCGACCACCTTTAGCTCTTCCTCACCACCGTATACCAGGAATGCATCCTTAGTATTGCGAAGATACTTGAGGATGTTCTTGACCGCTATCCAGTGTGCTTCTCCTGGACTTCCCTGGTATCTGTTGGTCACGCTTAAAGCAAATGAGACATCAGGTCTAGTACATATCATGACATACATGATGGATCCAATTGCAGAGGCGTATGGAACCTTCATCATGAGTTCCTTCTGCTCAGGAGTAGAAGGACTCTAGTTCTTGGAAAGAACCGTGTCAGGTGTCATAGGTAAAGATCCTTTCTTTGATTTAGTCATGCTAAATCGATCAAGGATTTTATCTATATATGTACTTTGATTCAGACCTATTAACTTTCTTGATCTATCTCGGTAGATTCTTATGCCAAGGACATAACTAGCATCCCCTAAGTCTTTCATGGAGAAGTTCTCGCTCAACCACGTCTTTACAGAAGTGAGAGCGGGAATATTGTTACCCATTAACAATATGTCGTCGACATATAATATTAGGAATACTATTACACTCCCACTGACCTTCTTGTATACACAAGATTCATTAGAGTTCTTCTCGAAACCAAAATTGGAAATGGTTTCATCGAAACGTATGTACCAACTCCGAGATGCTTGTTTTAATCCATAGATTGAACGTTGCAATTTACAAACTTTTGCAGACTGACCAGCAATTTGAAAACCGTCAGGCTGTGTCATGAAGACATCCTCTTTGAGGTTCCCATTAAGGAAAGCCGTTTTGACGTCCATCTGCCAAATTTCATAATCGTAATAGGCTGCAATCGCAAGCATTATCCGAATGGATTTCAGCATAACAACTGGAGAAAAGGTTTCATCATAGTCAATTTCGTGGATTTGTCTATAACCTTTTGCTACCAATCTAGCTTTGAAGGTATGAACCTTCCCATCTACGTCTGTCTTCTTTTTGAAGACCCACTTGCATCCAATGGGCTTTACCCCTTCGGGCACATCAACCAATGTCTAGACTTGGTTTGTGTACATAGACTCCATTTCAGATTTCATGGCTTCGAGCCATAGATTGGATTCGGGGCATGTAATTGCCTCGAGGTAGGTCTCTGGTTCGCCTTGATCTACCAACAAGACGTCACCTTCATCAGACATGAGAAATCCATATCTGACCGGAGGATTACGTATCCGGTCTGACCTACGTGGTATATCTTGAGCAATTTGAGGTTCAATTGCTTGATCTCTTTGCTCAGGTTCCAACACTATCGGGACTTCTTCTTGTGGTTCTCGAAT